TGTTGAATTTGTGATCTTGTTTACTTAGAGCACATATGCTTTTCCCAGCACCATGGGAACTAATACTGGCGTGTTCTGCAGGAACTGACAGTATCTGGGGCAGATTAAACAAAAGCTCTCCGTGACACTTACCTCTAACTTGGCACCAGCTCTTCTGTTGCTACATCTGTAGTTCTGTTTCTAGCAGTAGTTGAATGTAATGGCAGGAAGTACTTAGAGGATTTATGCAAAAGGACTCTGTTATACAACTTGCTTCAGTAGCACCAATTTTCTAACTGCTTTAACTCTTATATTCTGCTGATGAATATTTAATGTGTTAAATGCAAGGAATCTTTAATATTCATCAAACAAAAACTGATTTCTAGAGGAATCTGAAGGGAACTTGATTTACTATAAAATTCTGGAATTTGATTTGCTTTCTTCGGCATATAGAACTTTGTGAACTACACATTGGCTTTTTATGGGGAAAGCATACAACCACGTTGTTAAGATCTAATTGAGAAAATATCCTGATGAAAATATTGCAAGCAAACTGCTTTCTCAATATTAAAAAGGAAGCTATAGAAACATATATCCAATGTATAATATCACATTACAAAATATACAAGCTACAAGAATAATTATTGAGTTATGAGCAGACCACGGATTATTTTAGATCAGACTAGAAATCCACATTATTTTGATTCTTAGTGAAGCTACTGAATGCTGCCCCTGAGGGTCCCATTCCACAGGCCCTAAGAGTACATGTTCCTGTTTTTCTACAGCAAATCTGAACAATTAAATTTGATGAGAACTGTTCATATGCTACACCGTGCATATTTTTTTTCAAATTTCCTTCAAGTTCACTTTATTTTGCTCTTCTTTTTCAGATCAGAAATGCCAAAATTTCAGCTCCCTTCAAGAAGCAGCCCAGAGCAGAAAGAAGGAACAGCTTCACTGGATGGAAGATACTGCGTATCTGCTATGCAACAAGATCGAAGATCTCCCACTGGTGGATCCAAGATTTCAGAGAATGGTATCACACCCCGTAAACAAGCATTTTTTTCCCTCATTGATTATTAAGATCCTCGGCAGAAAAGCTAGCATAGGTTTTAAACCAACAAAGCTACAAATAAATCCTAATGACGTGCATAAAGCATTCTTTCAAAATCTTATAAAAATCACTGTGTTTGAGAAAGGCTGGCTTCTCTGGCGCAGAGAGCGACAATGGCTCTCAAAGAGATGACTATTTTGGGGTGTCATTTAGCTGCTGTAATGATGAGACATTTCTGACAGGCATCTTAGAAGCCAAACATCATTTTTTTTTCCCCTGGGTACCAGTTTAAATGGCAAGTAGACAGCATTTTAAGCACAGAGTTTAACTTCCTTTCTGTGATTTTTGACACATCGTTCAAAAAAGAAAAAACAAAAACACCAAAACTGTAACTTGGAATTACCTGTAAGCAATACAGTACCTTCAGTGCAGATTGAAGAACTGTACATATTGACAAAAAAAAAAAAAAAAAGCGTAATATATTGAATGGAGCTGACAACTAGCTGCTCAGGATGTGAAAAACAATGACATGTAAATTCAGCTAACATTTTAGCATTTTCTCCTTTTGGTTACACCTAAACAGTTAGCCTGCTTTCAGAAATATTTTATCAAAATAGGCATACTGCCAATTCAAAGACAGATCCCATGTCTAAGTTACATTACCCATATTTCAAGCTCAGACAGCTTTTCCAGCAAAAGATGTGCAAACAAATGAATTGTAGTTTTGTATCTTTAACAATGTGAAAAAGTATTCCATCATATGAAAAAGGATTACATAGGCAGAAAAGAAAAAATAATTGAATAACTGCAGTGAAATTGCAAAGCTGAACAACAACAAAATCTTTGTGAACATCTGGCATAAACCTAGATATTCTAGATAAATAAACTTAGATATAGATTAGCTATAAAAATCTAGATATATTTCACTAAATGAATATTAATATCTTAGATCAGAGTTTGCATCAATGGAACCGTGTAAATTATTTGAAGTTATGTAGGTTACCAATTAATGCCTATCTACTTCAGTACTCAACTACTTTGTGATTCTACTCATGTTAAGAATTTTATTAAAATGTTAGCATTATGTTGAGACATGCAAAATTTCACTATTGTATTTCGTTTCCATCCTTCTAATCATAACCTGCAAAGTCATATAAAAGATAGTTTCTTCTTCACTTCAGTTAGAGCAGAAGGCATTCTCACATGTGAAAAGATACATTAATAGTGGCTTAGTTACCTCAGCATGAAGACGGCTTGAGGTTTACATCCTTTTCCTTCCCATTTATGAAAAGCTAATCTGAGCATCTGCTATGCCAGATGTAACAATAATTTACTGGATTAAACATACCAGTTTGCAGGTCTTCAAGGAATCCAGTGTTGTATGATAACAGCTCTCACAACTGCCACAACTATTGTAAATTCTGATTACCCCTTTGAAGTCCTAAGGCAAAAAAAACAAATGATCATACAAAAAGTTTATTACTCTATCTTCATGCTGTGATACATTAGTCATTTATTTTGTCAGTGCTCAGACTCATGAAAGAAAGTGCTCCTAACACCCTAGCTCAGACGGTGTTGGGACTGTACTGAAGACGTGCTGACTTTCACTCTCTAATTAAAGGGCAATACAGCTCTTTAAACAGCTTTAACTCAGAGCAAAATCAGCTTTGTTCCTGCTTACCCAACAAATTACTGAACATGATAGCCTATAAATTAGGCACCTTGAATGCTACTGGAATGAAAATTGCATTAACAAACATATGTGAAGCGTTAACCAAAATTAAATAAATAAATAGAAATCAAAGATCAGGCTGTTTTGTGGAGCACGCAGTGCTGGGCAGAGGCGGAGCGTGACTGCCCTCTGAGGGAGATGCTGTCGAGGCCCAAAGGCTACAGGGACACGGTTCAAAGCGTCCGAGCAGCGCCGGGAAATGGAACCTCGGTGCACATCTGCGCTGGTGCCTGTAGCCTTGAAATGAAGGCAGAATTTTGCAGAAGTGATAGAAAGTGATAGAAAGCTCTTACGAATCGTTGGCTTCATCACTGCCAGAACTAAAGCTGCTTAATTAACTGACAGCTATTATGGTAAATAACTATAAGTTTAAAATTAAGTTTAAATTAGTGTAACCAGATGTCAATTTAAAATAAATGTTTAGCATAAACATATGACCAGTGCTTACTATGCCAAAGATCTCCAGTAAGGTACAAGCATCAGAATAACATTTTAATCTCAGCCAATATCTTTTTGTGATAGAAATAGAAGGTAAACACAACAATTTTTCTAAGATGCAGCTAAAAGGTATTCAAAAATTTCCTTAATAGTGCATATAGACTTGCATGTATTAGAGTTATTTCATCTACAATTTATTCAGCAGGTAAGGATACATTAGGTTTAGGTTAGTTAGATATAACTAAGCATTACAGAGCTACAGCTAAACATTAAGTAGCTAATACTATAGGTATATATCAAAATCACCATCCCCACAACACACAGTAAGTGAATGAGTAAATAAGAGAACATTTAAATACAACTCTTGCACTCTGAATAGACATTCAGCTGGTACAATAAGTATGTAAAAATATCTATCGCATTACAATGGTTTCTTACTCCCTATGAATAACTTATATTCAATTGTGTATGTGAACAGTAATTGCCACCCTGATAATATATTGTTCCTTCACACTTATTCATAGATTTCAGTTATTGAAAAGGAAGATTTTACGTGAAACACTAACAAGTTATCAGAAGAGAGTCCTGAGATAACAATCCCTGCTGAAGCTTGGCTCCCTTAGTTTAAAGCCTCTTTGCATGAATGATGAAGGACCCTGCTTAGTGTTTCCCTCAGATATTTAAAAATCTCAGTTTTTCTTTCGCAGTTGCACTGATTTAAAATTGGCAGCTACAGAGCAGCAGGGGCTGCTCTTTGTTGTTAACTGCTGTTCATTTCCCAGCCGAGGAGCAGATGTTCCGGTCAGTGGAGGGCCAGGCCGCCTCCGACGAAGAGGAGGAGAAGTGGACAGGAGACCAACAATCCCAAGTGGCCAAAGTGAAGAAAATACTGGCCCAGCTCCCTTGCTGTGGCACTGGGTATGTTTTTGACATAAATGATGCCTGAGCCTTTTGAGAATATTCTTTCATGACTTAGACACACCATTTTTGGCTGAAAAAAGAAACAAAACTACTATAAAACCAAATCAAAAGGCTCCTGTGTGCTCCTTTATAACCCATGGATAACAACATACTAAGTACTCCCACCCAACCTCAGCACGTGTCAGCTAGGACACCAATTTATGACCCGTTCAGCTAAGAATTTTGCAGGAAAAAAAAAATCCTTCGTAAATATTGACCTTGAATATGAGGTTTCATTGACTCTCCTTTTTTTTTTTTTTCTCTCCTCTTAGATGTGATGAAAAAATGCGGAAAAAGCTGATGTCTTATTTTGAGAACACCACAACTGAAAACTACCAAACAGCATCTGTGGAGCTAGCGGAGAGAATCACACAGCTAACTGAGCAGCTTGAGCTCAAAGGGCATGAAGTGAAAAAAATGGAAACAAATATGGAAGAGGTAACGATTGCCAGGCATAGTGTGAAAAAGTTACTCGTGTATCTTTAAATAGCTCCACTTACACCTACTGTATTCTGGCTATTCTGCTTTCTGTTGTTGCCTGTCACTGCACCACTGCTCCGTAAGCTTGACCATCTCATGCTCTCGTTTAACACCACCACTTCCTACCTGAGCCTCCAATTATCTGGAGGATGAGATGCGCATCACTAGAGTAGTACTTCAAATAACATCCTTATTTAAATGATTTAAGATATTCACAGATTTTGTGTTCTGGACTGATATCTCTGCAGATTAAAGAGCAGGTGATGCTCTTTAAAGAACAGGCCATGCCCAATTCAGCGGTTGCTCAACTTTGTATGAAATACTCATTTCCCAGCCCACCCAGTTCCCCAAAAAAACTTTTCTAGAAACCCCTCCCACTGACTGAGCCACAGAGGCTCACTGCTTTGCTATCCTTAAGAGGCAATCATCCAGTTGACTCTGATGCTGAATAAAAATATATATTTCTCAGGTTTGTCACTATGTTTCAGCCACTGTATTTAAAAGCCCCAGTGTAGTATCTGAGTTGTGCCATCTAATTTAACTATTTAAATATTGCCAACTTCAGTCAGTGATGAGTTTAGATTTTAATGCTATAAATCCTTCTATGAAGCAAAAACAGTAAACCATATGCATGACTGTCTTAAGCTTCAGTCACTACTTGTTCAGTATTTTACACACTGATTCTAATCACTACCAGAAAGAAGTTATAAAGGAAAAGATTTTGAGGATTTGTTTTTGTTTGCTTTTATTCTACTGCATCCAGTGTTACCTAGTTCCTGTGCCTGGAAACAGTAATCTTTCCCTTCATAATTTTACAGCCTGTTTTCACCAAAAAAGTCACTTATCCTCACTCCTAGTCTGCCTCATGTCTCTTAGCAGAGAAACTAGTATTTACTTCTGACAGTCTATTTTATTCTTCTATGTGCTTTTCAGCCCTACTACTACCTTCTTTGAATGAGAAGAACCAAAGCTGAACTTAGCATTCAAATGTAAGCCCGTCATATATAAGAATGTTTTCTGCTTTGTCCCTAGTTCCTTTCCTAGCTGATTTCCAATGTTTATCCTTGATCTTTGCTGATCACTGAGCTATGTTCAGCATACAACTATTCTAGAGTTCTTTCCAGAGTTGCAGTCATCACTGCATACTTATGACTCTATTTTCACTTACTATGCATTACTGATACTGAATTTTATGTGCTATTTTATTACCCAGTTATTCAGTATCATGAAATTCTGTTGTAATTCTTCAAAGGCAGCTTTAGTTTTGATTACCCCCTCAAAATTTATATACATAACAGACTTAAGCTCTCCCCCATTCACCTTTAACAACAAAAAAAATCATTTACAAACACACTGATCAGCTCAGCTCTTCACCCAGATCTTTATGAGACCCTAAGGATGATGTTCCCCTGCTCCCATAGCTGACCATTCAGCTCTGGTCGGCCTTTCTGTGCTTTACCTCCCACCTTTTAACCAGCTGCAAGTCCATAGCAGAATCTATTCTACACTATGGTGTCAGTTTTATTTATTTATTTTTTTAAGTCTTTAGTGATGAACCTTGAGAAAAGCTTTTTGCAGATGCAAAGAACACTATCAACTGAATTACCATTATTCATATATATTCATAGACCCTTTCAAAGAAATCTAATAGATTCCCCACTACGTTCATCGATGTATTCACCAAGCCCCTTACAGTTTCTATCAATTTGCCTGACAGAATATTGATATTCTAGAGATGATTTGTTGTTCCTCAGATCATCTCTACAGTATCTTTTAAAAACTGGTGCTACATCCACCACCTTCCCTTCCTCGGAGGCTAAACTGATGTAAGAGATAAATCACACAGCACATTTCAGTACTTAATTCTGGAGATCTGTTACTGTTTTCCTCCTGGTTTGAGGAAGCTTCTCAGATTCATCTCCTGCAAAAAATAGCTCCAATGTGAGAGACTAGCTTCTTCAGTAGCAAACACAATACAATAATTTTCTTTTACATTCTTTAAGTTTTCTTTTAAATATTGATCATTCATTGTCCTTTATGTATTTATATACATGCTACTCAGGAGGACAGATTCTCCTGCAGCATTGACATTTTCACTTAATGAGGCTTACATAGCAGCAGCTGATTTATTCTCAAAACTAGTAGTTGGCAAGACAGTACTTGCATTACCCAAAAAAAGCACAGAATACAAGAGAAATATCCAAAATCAGGCTATCAGGCTATACTGAAGGACTCTGGTAGAGTTAAGAACACAACCCACATCTCCGAGCCCAGTGACTTAGCTACTGACCATCCTTCCTTGGTACCTAAGCTATTCTGACTATCATCAGTATCTTAGTCACAGATGTTGATGTAAGAATGAGAGATGTAGCCTATCTAGTAGAGAGTGAACTACTGGCTTCAAGTACAATAAGTTAATTTAAAAAAACTACATACCCAAAAGCAAAAATAAAACAAAGAAATCAGAAAACTAGCTTTCTTATATATGAGAAATGGCTGTAAAGAAAACATAACTACTGTGGAAAGCAGTTCCCTAATCAGAGCCTAGGAAATACAGGCAAAGAGCATTTTGTACGAGCAGATGAAGAGGAAAAAGAGCCAGCAGTAGCAACAAGCACTATGTCCAAATATTAACAGTGGCATTTTGAGCTAAGCGTATTGCAGACACTATCCATAAAGCTAAACAGCTGGTTATGACACTGGACAACTATGGAGGACTCAAGTGGTCTGCATATTAAGAGGAAAGTTTGTACTTTCTCCATTCGCGTTTGTACACAAGACAAACTAGATTTCCTACGGCCTTTCAGCATCAACCAACAGAGGACAGAGAAGTCCCTGTGTGGCTTTCCAAGTACGGCAGTTTGCCAGTGTGACTAGGGGAGTAGCTAAAAGCAGCAGATGTGAAATATCCTGGGTGCCGAGGCCCCATGGGACAGGCCTCTCTTCTGTCAGCACAAACAGGCACTTCTTAAGAATTTCCACGAGCATCTGTTTAGCTGCATATTAGGAAAGTGGATTTTACAAATAGAGATAACAACCTTATTTGCTCTGTGTTATTTGATATGACACTGTTACTGTTCAGCTGTACAAGGGAGCATAACTATTTAATGCATTCAGCATATCTCTGAGGAGTGATACCTGCAATGTGGAGGCAATCTGCAGGATAATAAACCAAGCCACATATCTGAATTACTGAGGACCTCACTCAGCCTCTAGGCCATTTGCAGTGTCTCACTCACACTGCTGTCACATTGGTGGTAACAATGCTGGCTTCATGTACAGGAAAATATTACTTTAGTCATCCAAGATGGGTGTTCAGGCAGGAATACTGAAATCACCATTTGGCAAATGGACTAGAGTCAGAGATCTAAAGTCCTGTAGCTCTAGGAGCTGCAGAGCCTCTCACAGCAACACTCAGGGACAGCTAATGGAACGACAAATTTCCATCTGACGATGGAACAAGTGACAAGGATGTAGTTTTAGCACTGTAGGAAACAGAATGACCTTTTAGGTGACTCAAAGTAGATCAAGGATTATTTTACTTATTCACTCTGATTATGCTCATGTTCTAGGAAACTGAAGTTCCTTTCTCTCTATTAAATATTAATTGGGATAAAATTTTCCAAAAATGAAATATAATAGCGTGCCCATTAAGCCTGCAGCTTTACTGGTTCAGCTCTTTCTTCAGTTATTGATAGAACTGCAATAGAGATATAAAAATTGACAACAAAGGATTAATAAAGCCACTGAGCTTGGCACGGTTTTGTTCCTAAGGATATTATAAAATTAGTTTCTCCTTGCAACAAAACATTACAAAAATGGTTGCATTTTAAAATTCTAGGCAGTAGACAGTTGCAGTATTCCATCTAGTAACGTTTTTTTTTCAAAGGTAGGTCTGAGACAGCTGGCAAGCTGGAGCTCAGCGCAGGTTTGGATGGTCCAGGTGTGGTGGTGAACACCACTCCTGCTAGAATTTCTGCAGACTATTTGCAAGCCTGCAGCTTTCTGTACTTCGTTGCAAACCAGTGCTTCATCAAGACAGCAAGCCAACCAAAGCTTAGCAGAACCAGGATCTTAAAAATCTTTCCTTAAGAATATTTTTTCCCAAATACTTAGAAAAAACTATCTGATAAAATTTGTTTTTCTATTTCATCATAGATGATCTTCATGTAGCATTCCCAAAGCAAAAATATGATCATATTAGTGAGGGCATACACATCAGTCATGCTTTCTTACCTTAGAAGGAATAAAGAATTGCTAAAGATTAGAAAACTGAAATAGGAATGCTACCAGCTAAAACTGCTGATATGCAGAGATTAAAGTAATGTATTTCCTTTCAAGATTGTCTTCCGGCATGAACTGACATTTACCAGATAAGGGGGGAAACTTAGTTTTGCAATTATTGAACAAGAAAGCAAAAGGCTCCAGTGCTTTTAACGTCCTGTGTCATTGTCTAGATGAAAGGTCCATTGCTAGGTGAACTGCAGCAAAAGGTGGAAGAGACCGAATTGTTGAAGATGGAGCTACAGATGTTGGAGACTGAGAGAGTTAGGCTGTCACTGGTGGAAGAGAAGTTCATGGATGTTTTACAGCTTCTTCAACAACTTCGAGACTTGGTATGGCAAGAAAGCAATCAGCTTAGAATTGTTTTTGATGGTGTCCTTTTCAAACAAAAAGGATGGTCATAGCTTTCACTAAGTACAAGGTCCTTTACACCAAGAAACATTTCTGTATGTGTTTACTCTTGGAAGTGTCCCAGTGGTTGGAGAAAACTTTTAAACCCCTATGGGTGAGTTTCTAAAAGAGATCTAGATATCTCCCTGGAGCTGATCTCCAAGCTCTCCTCTAAATAAAAATTTGAGAGTCAAGACAAACAAAAATGGTAATAATGAGAAAGCCTACTTCCTTTTAGGAGACTGTTTTTCCTACTGAACCCACAGAAGTATCAATGCCAACTGTCTTCTCTTAAGCAGAAACCAGCCTGAAAAACAGTCCTCTTCTAACACAGCTTTCACTTTAAAGATTCTTTGCCTCACACAGCTTCAGGTTAAATATGTGGTAATCCTCATATACATTGCTGAGAAAAGAAATGAAAGTGCATAGTCCTCCTTTAGTCTTCCTGATGTCCTTCTTACACCAGTCCACCTTACCCTCAGACTCGTATTTCTGAGATGGGAATCTTCTGCTGAAGTTTCACATGTGCTCTGTGGTCAGACTGCTGGTGAAATGCAACAGCAATGCAAAACTCTTCAATATGTGTATGGCAACACAGCAGAGAGTCGAAACATTTTTGTGAACTACTTAGCTGTGCAGAAAACAGCAGTACATCTGGAACCCTTTTATCTCTTATGTCAGTGGGATAGTTTAGTGTTCAGATATTTTTATGTATCAGCTTCAAGTCACAAGTTTTTGCAAACCAGAAAGTGCACTTCTTATCACCACACTATGCAGGGGGTCGGAGGCACGACGCAGCTCCCAGGTAGCATATCAAGCTGCAGGACAGTACAGCAACTGCAAGCACTGATCAGCACCTGATCAGATGTCTCCCACATTGCAGAGCATAGCTGCTGGTACAGGCTGAGTTCAAAACTCAGACTGAGATAGAAATCAATGTTGCACACAAGCGAAAACTCAGTTTTCCCCTATGCAAGCAGGGTGGAGAGAGGAGTTAAAAAATAAAAAAATAGTAACTGCATCCTGTAGCAGCATTGAGTCTGTATTGAAGGGATAAAAACACTTCCTATATAGGAGGAAAAAACCCTACTGGTACAAGTTTTTTACTGAATTAATAACTCAACATATATAAGTTGGTGCAATATTATCCCAGACGCATATAGCCAGTATGGCAGTTCAGCCCTTTAGCAAACATGTTTCAGTTTTCTGTCTGAGGATTGCTAACGGTGAGGGCTGGTCAGAAGACTGTTGCGGATGGGTGGCTAGTCTGCAGAACATGGAGTACGTTGGGAGCCATGCTGTACTGCTGGGAGCTAATTTCTTCAGTAGCAACTCAGGGTGCTCCTCAATTTTCAGCAGAGCTCTTGTCTAATCTGTGTCAGAAGAGAAAGCTTTCTCAGATGATCACTTTACATATTTGAAATACATTCCTGTTCCACTGCTGACTCTAGGGAATTAGTACAATATCTCATAATTTGGTAAATTACTTTAGCACTTGGCACAGAACTTCTAATTTCATATTCCAAGTCTGACACTGCTTGTTATATGCATCAATAACTATCCAACAAAGAATCAAACTAGTAAAGGCTGCGACTGGCAACAAGCATAACAACATTTTGTGGCAAGACTTCAACATGTCATTCATTGGTCAGCCATATTATTGAAAATTATTCCCACATAGGACACAATCCATCACACAGTGTGCCACCCCTGAGTGCTAACAGTGCTTCATGCTAAGCACTGCAGGAAACGTGCTACAGTTGCCTCTAACTTCCACAGCACCAGTGCAACACTGTCATTGTAATTGAGTAATTTACAGCATTCCCAGTGGAGCTTAAACAAGGATCTCCTAAATCCCTATTGGGATTTACTTCAGACAAAAGAAAGCTTATTCATCAATAACTGTAGTTTTAAGTGTCGCTTCGCCAGCATATTTGTCTTCAAGTTGTAAGTACTCCCAGCATCTCACTCATATCTTCTACAAAGCAGCAACTGTGCAGAGACAAAAAATGCAGTCTGCCAGAAGTACTAAACTTTCCCAACATGTGTAAGCCCAGCTCACCAAAAGCTCCTATCCGCTACGCCCCAATCTCCATGGGGCAGACACTACGCCCCCGGTCCCGTGGGGCAGACATGCAGAAAGGGGTGAGCAGCATTCATAGACAAAGTCAGGATGGCCCAAGTTGCTGGCAGGGTCTTTCTTCCAGACCAGCCTCCATTTATTTTCACTCCTTGAAGTTTTAACAGGAACAGCCTGTCCCCCACACATATGGGGGTAGTAAACACTAATTAATCTGATTGCAAGACCATCTCCCAGAAAGCATGCATTAGCATCTAGAGAGCAAATTAAGAGAGTTTGTTTTCCATAAATATTATGTACTATCACAAAAAATTTCTAAAATAAAACTGCTACTAAAACAGGCCAGGCAAACCCTAAATAGTTCATACAGCCCACTCATTTTGGCTAGTCTAATATATATCAAGATATAACTAATAGCGGCCTTACCATATGACACAAGAACCTCTTCTGATTTCAGTATACTTAAAATACTGGCCAATGATTCCTAAAACAAGTGAGTCTGGGAAGCCTTCTTCTGATATAACATGAAAAAAATTTCCCGTTCACCTTTCAACATGGGCTTAGCGGCCTCAAACAACTTTTATTGTGCATGCCCTGCTCGCGTGTCCTACTACCTACCTTTGTGCAGGTACAAGCTCTTGAAAGCTCAGTATTTTGGACTGTAAAAATCACAGTTTCTCTTTCTAGAGCCATGTTAAGGAATTTTGACCCTCCACAAATTGCTTTCATTTGACTAATATCAATGATAAAATGCCTAAAAATACAGCCAATATCAGGTCTCACATTTCTAGTATTCAGATTCTTTTGGTTAATTTTTTAAAATTTTAAAATGCAATGCACTGTGTCTAGATATATTTAAGCTGGTAAAGGACATAATTGTGCCATAACATCATCTTGTTTTTTAAAGAATATATCTAAGCGAGCCCTGGGGAAAATCTTGCTGAGCACTTTGGAATCCTGTCGTGATCCCCGAAATGGTAAGAAAGCAAATCGTTTATAAAGATCAAGGAATATGAAAAGTGTCCTTTTGTGAAAAACACTAGATAATGGACAATTGAGTAGGGAAAAAATATATATTTCAGCTCCTGGTAGACAGGGTAAGGGAAAGAAGTACCAGGCAAGAAGATTACCTTTAGAAATTGGTGCTTTTTAATCTGCAAGACTTCAAAAACCAGGAAAATATCCAGTACTTTTTAACTAAATTTAAATTAGAATTTGGTCTTAGGGGAACCATTCAGCATCCCACTAATTTCTAACCATATAAAAATATTGATCATATAAATATTGATGTTATAAATAAATAATATAATAAAATATTTCTATCAGTATAAGAAAGAGAAAAACATAAGCCTGAGTATGTTAGGCACCATGTATCAGCACTTATTATTCCAGTGCATGCTTCATTCCTCTCTTGCCATATAGGCAAGGTATACAAAGTAAAAACAGCACATTTCTGTAAAGAAACTGGATCACACCTGCACTCTTATAATAACAATCTTTCATGTTCCTCTTATGAAATATTAAACTTGCAAAATCCTCTCCCTTGACAACAGTCTGCTGTGCCAGAGCTGCCTCTGTAAAAGCCACAGAGGGATCAAAGCCTAGAGATTTAGGCTTGATTACTTCATTTCTATTAGCAGAGCATTTGTACTTACGCGGAAGAAATGAACATGCTGTACCAAGCCTAAGAACATGGCTTGTAGTTGATTTGATAGGCATAATAGTCAAAGACAAGATAATAAAAGGCTAGATGCGGCCTCAGGGTTTGTTTTGGAGAATATTAATAACAGTGTTTCAGGGAGAATAATATAAAAACCATTCCGGGTCTTGTTCTTCCAAAGCCTTGTTGTTGCTAGCGTGCACCAACTCAGTGTGCAGGCAGTGCAGACATAGGCTGGGCTGTACCTGAACGGCTGCAGAGAAAGCAGGGGAAGCTGCAGCTTTTGCTGGCTCCAGGACACCCACACAGAAGGAAAACGTCCAAGATGCAAATTTGGTGAACACAAGTGCTGACTATTAGTACCCACTGCACATAAGTGACCTGAAGGTGCTACTACTTATCCTACACAGGAAGAGTGACTCAAAGGAGTGCTGCTGAAGCAAAGTATCTCCTGCTGTAGCTCTAGCACATAGCTCGGCTTCCGAAAATGGGAAACTGACACCAATTAATTTAATAGTGAAGCAACCTTGTGACACTCTTTGTCCGTTTCTGCATCACCATTGCCATAAACTGTCTTCTCTTCTTTCCTCTTCTGACTCAGCACTTTACATGACTTAAGCTGCTTTCCTAAGTTTTGGTAATCAAAGATTTTTTCCTGTTTGAGAACACTAAGTGGATGACTGGATTAGCAACTCTTTAGGGCAACATGAAACAGTCCTTTTATGTGTGGACTTCACAAGCAGAGGATGAAGCAAAAAAAAAAAACAGCAGAGAAACTGTCCTTGGACCCAGCTCCACTCTCATGCATTTTTGTGGGGACAGGAACTGATTATTTGTTCTCAAAATTTATAAATTTTATGTCAAGTTACTGAAATAGCATCTGTCTAGATAAGAGTTTTTGTGACTGTTAAACTTTCATTTTCTGCCTTTGTTGATATGCTAACATTTGCAATTTTCCTTTAAAAGGAAAAGCCCACCTTTTTGAAGTCCTAGATACTCTTCACCATGAGCTGACTGCGTGCGAGCTCTTGCAGAGCCATCCCCTGGGGCAGGCACAGGATTGCCGGGCCCTGGCTAACCCGCTGCTCATCTCGTGCTGAGCAGCAGCAGCAGCGACAGCTCCTCACAGCTTGCCAAGCCACGGCCACCGCTCGCTCAGGCAACTCAGCAGTGATTAAGTTTGTCCTGTTCAGAAGAGCTCAGTACTGGAGAAGAGTAGTAGAATAATTAAGCCATGAAATCAAAGGAATGCTGCTTCTGCGAAGAGCCCTAATTCCTCAGCTAACTCCAAAGTCATCCCTTACTGAACGCGCGTTCACATGATGTGAGGATTATTCTCCAACGGTCACCTCTGGCAGAAGCTAAACAGTCATATATCTTGTTCCTTTAACTGTACTGGCTCCACAAGTGAGATGTTCCAATTCCAGTGACACTGACCTGACCAGTTTTGATTTATACACCAGCTGGTAACAACTATTCTCTTTTGTAATAACTGAATCATTTTAGACAAAAGCAAAAGCCAGCCTTTCTAGCCACTGGGAAGTAGGCTGTGCTCTTAAAACACACGGGACAAAATTACTATAAATATGAAATATAGGCCAGTAAGTGTAAGTAAAAGACTATGTAGTGTAAGTTAAAGACTATGTATAAAACATGTTTGTATGTGCTTGTATATGTGAATATAATTCATTTTATTTAACTTTAAAGTTAGATTTATGTTACCATTCTGATGAGTTTTATATTTGTAATTATAGAAACACCTTAGAAATTTGCAACTATTCTTACTGATAATAGTCTTACATTTTATATTAAAAGTTGCATTTAAGTGCTTGGAAAATGCACAAAACAATCTTGTTTCCAGGCTCTGCAGGAAAGGAAGAACAGAAAAAAATCACTTTGCAACAGCTGCCATCATTGCATTACCAAGTGACGCATGCACGTGTGTACATGGCTACGTTCTCCATTTAATTTCCCTCAGCACAACTGTACAGACACAAAGATAACGTTGCAGAGAAAGTAAAATGCTGGGCCTAATGGCACCATATACCATTTTAATCAGGAATAAAATAATTTCCTGGGTGCAAAAGAAAACAAAAATAAAAAACAAAACAGGTTGCTGCCAAGTTGCCTTCACTCTGAGTAAGAAACTTGTATATTAATACTACATACAATACTAACTGGAATTTTAAGCAAAATATACTAATACTTAGTAGATACTAAGCACTAACAAAATATATTAAGAAAACTCTATACTAAATGTGCTTCAGGTAAAAGCTACATTAAATTCACAGAAGTTTAGGTTCATTTTGTACAAAAGCAAGAAAAATCTTGGCTCATTTCTGGTACAGTTCTCCGAGACATTCCTAGGAATACTGTGCAACTATAGAGAGAAAATGCCAGCAAATCATTCGATATACATGAGCTACGTGTATACTTGGCAGGAAAGACACTTCAGGAGTAGGGTTACAATGTAAATACATATGTGATTTAGAATTCCCTCAAGCATTACAACATTCTTTCATGATATGAATTAATGTTACTTGTTGTATGCTCTCTCTCCATATATACCATATACCCTATGTACCATGTCTCTATACATATCCATGGATTCGTTATGTAGACATTAATACTGCTAATTGCATACTTTGGAAACTTTATTCTGCACTGAGTTTCTATTTCACTTTTTATTTTTTTAGAAATATTCTAGACTATTAAGTAGACTGATGACAAATGATAAAATGAGGGAGGAAAGACGAGAGAACTGAGTGCAACTCAGTCTGGGCACACAGTGACATGACTTTTACTAGAGATGTTGTAAATATGGCAGAATGCAATTCACATACCTTTCCTTTTTTAGTATTTTGTCTCAGGAAAATACAAATTACTAAGGAGACAAAAGCCCCTTTCCTGTAGCACGCTTGCTCTTCTTTAGCAGCCACCATCACACTTTCACAGCATAATCTACATTAAAATTCGTCCTTGCAAGGAAACTGGAACACTTCTTTCACAGACCTCCACAGTGCGCTCACAATCCAACCTCTGTGGTTCAACTTCATTTTGAAACTCTTTCTTGGCTTATTTCTAGACAAGATAGTATGAGCGTCTGTGAGACTTCTAAGACATATTATATTTTTGAAGTAAAGTTTTCTCCTCCCATTATTCTTTATTTCCTGTGAAATATAAACTAGTAAATTAGTAAAGTCAAGGCCATCTGAAAAATAATTGCCCAACTTAGTGTTTTTGCACCCTTTTATACCTGGAGTGTCTAGCAGTGGTCACTTGTCACAAATGTTACACTGAATAACAAGACTTTCACACTGAATCAGTGTGACAGTCGTCAGTCAGAGCTATTCCAAAAGGTCAATGGCATTCATACAGATTACTGGAACAAAGTCAGTCCTTTACATTGGAATGTTTAAGTTTGCTTCATAGACCGAAATTCAACCTCCCACCTTTCTCGCTACAGTCCATTAATCTATTACATGGTACATTTTAATGATGAAAGCCAGACTATTTAGATTTCATTCTCTGCTAAAAAGAAATCAACCCTTTTCAATAGCACTACATAAAATAGAGCTCCTAGGTAGGGGAGAACAACAACAGACATGCAAAGCATGTGAGGCATACTGCCTTACTGGCCAAAAAGGTTCCTCTAAATTTATAATTTCACAGAGGTAAAGGACACTAAAACCTTAAATATTTATATTAGCTTATTTACTTAAAATTTTTACATATAATTCTGCATAATACAAAAGAAAGAGTGCATCCTCCTTATTTCCTGAATTAAATTTTACTTTTAAGGGACCTGGATTTTCAGTATTCCCATCATGTTTCTGTCTTGCTTTCCTGGTTCTTTTACAGTACACCAGCAGAAACATCTCTAGCCATGTCCCAGGAACAGAGCAGAGGGAAACGAGCTCCAGGTACATAACCAGGTAAAAAGCAGTACAAGGCTGATGATACCAAATGACAATCTGTGCTCACCAGTCTAGAGGCAGCCATAGTATTTTAAGAGAATATCGCATTCAGAGAGCTCGGTATGCGTTAAGCTTTACACAGCACGCAATAGCACACATTTACATTCTAATCTATCTAGATAAAGCCCACAAGCAGTGTTACTGCTGAGGACTCAGCTTCTCTACTGACTTACTGGAGGCGAGCGGCCACCCTGCCGCACTGGCGCCTCTGCGTTCCCTGTGCTGGGGAGAATGCTACTTCTGAGAGCGCCACACAAAGCACCTTTTAAATGACTACTTTATGACTGTGCTTCAAAGAAGTATGAGATAAGTTATCTTTGTCAAGGAGTATGCAAGGACTGCAGGATGACATTGAAAAATTATCAGCGTTGAAGTGTTTTTACCCACATGCTCACTGCAAAGCCAAAGGGTGTTCAGATCACAGAATTTGTCCTATTCTAGTTAGGAATTTTCTTTTACTTGAAGAAAGCTTCATTGTTTTATTATTCTGCCTTTGCCAATTATTTTTTCATAGATTTTGCTTATGACTACAAGTGAAATAAAATAAAGGTCCAGCATGCCATGAAGCATTTAAGCATTTTCTATTTCTGAAAGAAAGGGAGGCGGGGGTGGGAAGGGAGGAGGAGGAAGAGGATAGAGAGGGCAGAGGGGGGAAGGGAGGAAGAAGACTTTATTTAAATCTACCATATACTTTAGAAATGTTACTTTTAAAAAGAAAACATACAATGCTCGCAGGAGATTTCTTAACTAATCTGAGAAATAAATCCCCTACATATTCCCAGTACAAGTGCAGCAGATGCAGCAGTGCTGCCTGCTCTCTTGTCAAGGCACCGCAGCCCTGCCCATCAGCCGCTCCGGGGATGCCAGGAGAATCCAGAAGGGCTGCTTGTTGTTTATGGACAAACATCTGCCGTGCCCTGGGCTGAGAAACAGCACTGGCTCCTCTGCCAAAGGACTGACAGTCCCCCCACAAATGTCACCAGGTTTTGAGAGGCATTTGAAAGTCACTCACAAATATGCTTGCATTTTAAACAGCCTTCTGGAGCCTCCTCGGAGCTCATCAATAGCCTGTAGCACATCTTACTACTGTGGAAACCATATGTAGGTCACCTCTATAGAGCTGTGCAGGGAAAACATCTTACCACCATCTCCACTATTGAAGCACACTCCTTTTTAAGGGAGATTGCTGTAACCAACTTAACATTTACTGTAATTACACCTTGTAAAAAACACAAGCTGCCTCCAGTGTAAAGACAGAAATGTATATACCACACAGGAGGTCTTGGCTCAGATGGTGCTTTTATATTCTTAGACTTCCAGCAAGGGAAGAGAATGGAGATGCTTTAATGTATCTGGCTGCAGCTACATATAAATAAAACTGACAGAACCAAGGATTTGTGTCATAAAATCAGATTTAAGGAGCCACTAAACCAACTACAGTATATTGAGTAGAGGCAGAAAAGAGACAGGAAGCATTTCAAATATAGAAATATTTCAGGATATAATAAATAATCACATACCAGGTCCTTTTCTGTTTAGGAGTTTCCTAGGCTAGAGAAAGAAAGTTGATCTTTACAGCAAATGTCAGTGAAGACTCTAACCTAATTATTGAAAGCATAGAACCAAGATACTCAAATCTGGGGAGGGAGTGTCTGTCTTTAGGAAGACGAATTTTGGAAAAGGAAACTATTAGGAAAGATAAACAAAGCTTTCAGATTACACTGATTAATCTGAGAATTTTATTTCCACAGTGAAAATTTTAACTGGGGGTAACTCTCTAGAATTGCATTCTGAATTTATACTGTAAGATTTCTAGCTTATATATAGAGTATAGTCCTCAGTTCGAACAGTCTTAAATACTCAAGTATAAAATGAGTATGTATATGGTATTTGTTCTTTTTTCCAATTGTATTTTTCTAAGAGATTTTTCTTTCTGGAGAAGCAGAACTGTATATCCAATAGCCACTATTTCATAAAAGGAAGTTGCTTCCAGTCACAGCAGAATGACCTCAATTTATACTATTTTTTCATTTTAAGTATGTATAAGTCATCCTAAAACTCTTGAGAGTTAAAACATGGAAAAGACAGACAGTAATTAAAAAGTACAGGAAGAGAGGGAAAAA